CCCCCCCCCCCCCTTTCAACTCCACCCTAGCGCGCCTCGGGGTCAACCGTTCGAAAACACTGTAAATATCAGTGTTTTCAGCTCTTCCAGTCCTCAGCAGTGACCAAAAATCATGGAATTTACAGCGTTTTTTGTGGCTGTCCGGCAAAAAACACCGCAAAAACCGATGGTTTTTGATGCGTCTCGGTTAGAAAAATGACCGAAAAAAGACCAAAAACCAGGAAAGATTTTGTCAGAAAGGGTTTTTGAGGCTTTTGGAGGCATCAAAATTGCACAAAACTATGGTATTTACAGGGTTTTGTGCACCTTCCCGGCAGAAAACGCCGGTATTTACACGGTTTTCTGCGCTTTTCCAGCGCTCAACCGTGGTGCGCCTTTGGATCGACGGCTACAAAATACCGTAAATACCAGTGTTTTCAGCTCCTCCTGTCTTCAAGCGTGGCCTTAGACCTTGCCGCGGCTGTGGATCGACGGCAACGAAACCTCGTAAATACCAGTGTTTTTGAGCACGTCCTGTTTGCAAGCATGGCCTGCGGCCACGCAATTTACAGGGTCGCCGCACGTCACTATGTAAATCCGAAGTTGCATTTGAGAAATACGTGACTCCTTTTGAAGGCACGTCAACCTGTATTGAAGCCGCTAGACCGCTACAGCTTCTGCAGGTTTTGTCAAGCGTTTGCGCACTAGTCTTTCTTTCATCACAAGTGGGGGGCCTCTCACCTCCTCCCGGATTACGCCTGATTCCCTGCTACCTTTCGTTCACCCCCCTCCTCTCTCAAGTGGGAGAAATGGGAGAAGGACTTTGATCATGTGGTCGTTGATTTGCCACGGACCTCGGAGGGCATCCGGTTCTCTTTACACCAAACTCCCAAACGCCCGGAAAGGCGGGCCAAATTCACCCAACGCCTGCAGGATCGGTCGTTACAACCGTACCAGCCGTAGAAACGAAAAGGGGCGCAGCGTCCAACGGAGGTTCGTCCTGAACCTTTTTGGGAAGGATGGAAGTGACTGAAATAAACATCAAACTAATAGCGAGCACACATACAAAATCATACAGAATCATACTGTACAAATACCCTTCCCTCACAGCAGCTGAACAACGTTCGCTTCCGAAACACTCCCCACTCCTGTCTTCTTCGCCTGTGTCACCCCCGCGGCGGCGCTCCGCCGCTCCGGTGGCGCTCCGGATGTCCTCAGGTGGAGCGCCGCGCCTCGAAGGGGCGGAAGATCCGGTATCGTCCCATCGAGAAGCTGCAGAACTTCATGGCGGCACGCCCCAGGCAGCGACCGGGAACGGATGAAGATTGGGGTGCCCGAACGGGTGGGTCTGCCATTGGTGTGTGCCTGCAGAAGTGGGCGGAGGGGTTGGAGAGGGGCTCTTTTGGGGCAGTTCGGGTCGCGTGAACTGCTTGGTGGTTGGTGGTATGTTTCGTACACTGCGGTGAAGTCTGATGTTGCATATGAGGATGGGCGTTGGATCGAGGAGTTTTCTGTGGAGAACAGCTGACAAAAGGTTGAATGCAAACCTTGAACCACCTCGATCCGCCCAGGCGTGAGAAAAGCATCACCGCATGACACCATGAAACCTGACAGCGAGCGGTTTCGCTAAGGAGGGACGAGGAGGATCCTTTGAGTGAGAGTGCCTGCCATGCCATGTTGAGCTCCCTCTTCGCGCCGATTAAAGCGTCAGCTGTTTGATTGCACTGACCCGACTGGCGAGCCGACCCACTGGCGGAAAAGATTGGCGTGACAAGTGTGAGTTGCAAAGCTGACAAGGAAGGGCACTGTAGCCCCCCAAACGGAACAGTGCCCATGCACGTGTGATCCCCAGGTCTTTAAACGAAGAGACTGCTGGGAATGGTGTGATCCGACCGCCGAGTCGCCAAGGCCACCGCCTTCCAGCCAAGAGTTCCTTGGCCTCGCTGGGTGTGACGCACTGGCCGCAGGTGTTGTCCAGCTCGGAGGACTTCTCCTCGTCTTCGATGGATGATGTTGAGGAGGGTTAGACCGTACAAAGATGTCCTCCACAGACCGGCATGACATCCTAGAAGGAGTCCTAGAGGTGCTTAGAGGTGCTTAGGCCTTAGGCTGTGAAAGAGTTCATTCCCAGAGCCCTGAGTGCTTGATTTCTTGACACCTGGACCGCGAGCCTTGCTCTTTTAATTTAAGGTCTTTGACCATCTGAGCGCCCTCCGTGTGTAGCTGCAGGGGCTGCAGATTAATGAACATGGGCCTGTGAAGGTGCGCATCCATCCTCCATCCTTAGCTGGCCGGATTCAAAGCACAGTGTCGGAAGGCGTGCAGCAGAGATCGGAAAGGTTGCAGGACAGATGTGGGGATGGGTCAAAGGCTGGAGCCCTGGTCCACCACGCAGAACGCCCTTTTGAGCAGGTCAACCAAGGTCTCCCTATTTTCATACACTCCCAATGTGAGCATCATCTTGAGCATGGAAACGCACTGTGCCGCAAAACAACATTCACCAATCAATGACGAAAAGGACAACGTCAATGCTATCAACACCTGATCGATCGGCATGTTTTCCTGCCATGACCGGGGGGTCACACGGCGGCTCCGTTCACACGGCCCAGTCTTCTGGGACCGCTGTCCCGAAGGGACCGGTTCTCGCTGGAATTCGCTGGATGTGCGGACGATTGGTCAAAACCCTTTCCAATGCAGTAGGTCCAACGGTTGAGACCTCTCCACATTGAAAAGGACAGGAGAATACTGATGCACTTCAGTGAGCCTCATTCTTCTCACCAATTCGGGAATCTTAGGGATGGTTCTGACCATGAAAAACACATGCCCAGGAGCAGGGTCGTACGCCTCATGGCGCAGAACTCTGCTCCTGCTAGCCTGCACAGCGCGTGCAGTGAAGAAGCTCGACATCGACTTCCACTGGTCAAAGCTTCAAAAGAAGACCGCGTGCAACGAATCTGGTGGCAGCCCATCTGCAATCTCAATTGATCATCTCAAGAGTTCTTGGCTGATCCTTTGCAGCTTTGGGTGTTCAGGAGTTCGATCCTTCCGTTGTGGCCGGATGTCTGGGGTCCGGTCCGTTGAGTGCACCCACGTCAAAACCGCCGTCAGGAAGGCAATGATCGACAATTGCCCGAGTTCACGGTGGGCATCTTCGCGCGCCACTCAAAGTGGGCGGAATGTTTCCGTGGCGGTGTGGCGGTGTTTTGGGGGTTCCGGCGAGGTTTGGGCGTACTAAAGAGCAAGTTCCGTGTGGTGAGGAGCAGCCGTTTCATGCGATGTGTGCGCCGTCTCGCCGAGGAGAAGAAGACCTTCCAGACCGCAGCTGAGTGGTCCAGCACTGAGAATGCTGAGACTGCTAGTAGTTGGGCGGGATTGTGAGCAAGATCTAGTCTTAGACGTCAGGATTCCGAACTTCTGGACACATGCGCGCACGTGCACCACAAGTAAACAAAGCCCAGCTCTGTGTTGTTTGGGACATCATTTTCTCGAGGGTCCGGACGCGCATCCCTTGGGCCCTTTGGTCGTGCGAGCCGGGTGATCCTTTGATGAAGGTTTCACGAGAAGGACCGGAAGCAGCTGTCCCAACCTCGGTTTCGTGGGGCGGAGGGTCAGGTGGTGTCAGACCGTGTCAGACGGTCCGGACACCCACCGAAGAGCCTTCCACCGGTGTCGTGTGGAGCGAGTGGTTGCCGCATCGGCGACGCATGGCGACGCTCAGTCCAAAACCCCAAATGTTCCCTTGACGCTTCCAGACTCCGTTTTTACATGGCAGGCATGATCTTGTTTTCTTGACTAGCAACCTTTTGAACCTCCCCAGGTCAGGGGGACCCTGAATTGTTACATATTTATATCCACTCTGAATTGCGTGAATTGGAGATTTTTCTGGCAGGGTTTGCAGGGTTTGCTTTGCCCAGACCCTTTTTCTTTGCATGATTCCACTGGGCATCTTGTGCCTCTCCACCTTGGCAGCGTGGCTTTGGGCATGAGGAGGGCGTCCCGGAGCGTCGAGGAGCGTCGGGTCTCATCATGGCACCATGGCACGGCCACTGCAGGCGCGGTTTTCGAACGGTTTGTGCAAGTAGTCATGGCAATGTCATTGTGAGCATGGCTGTTCAGTTGGGTCCCGTGATAATGATGCGCCATGAATGAATATTTCATTTGAGGAAATGATTGTTTTCTCCATCCACGGCTACTTGTTGTGGAACTTCGGACCCTGCCGTCTCGTGATTTCATTTTTCTGACGCCCTCCGATCAGGGTGACATCTCCGTGGGCAGGTTGGTGGCGTGCCTTGTTCCGGTTGTTTGTTTGTTTTGTTCTTGGACCCCTTGGGCAACAGCAGCCCAGAAAGGCATCCATCAACTCATGTGGGGGTAGGTGGGGAATAGGTCGGGCATTCTGGCGTGCTCTCCAACGGGCAATTTCACGTGGGAAGTTGATGGGATGGACCCTTGAAAAGGCGATATGCCCATGACATTCCTAGAATTTCCTAGACCTAGGTGGGAGGTCCAACTAGTCCAAGCATAGTGAGATCCACTGCTGTTCGGTAGGGCGTAGCGAGATCCATTGCTGGTTTTGGAGCCTTCAGGAACTCCAAGCTGGCCACAGCCTACCTCTATGGAATCACCTGGCGTCAGGGTGCCAAGGAGGCGCAGCAGGCCGGTCTCATCCGATCCCGTCGGTTGACCGGGGCGGTTGCTGAAGCACAGCTTCTGACAGGTTGCCTCCCGATTCTCCCAAAAAGCATATGATATGATATAATATGATATATATATATATACATACACAGTATATATGCCATGGATCCCAAAGTTCATTTGCAGCCTTCCCCCCCTGGTGACACCTTGGTGTAGGTGCTCTTGAACTTCCTCGACCGCGGCATGGAGGCCAACGCGCGCCCAGGCAGCAGTTTCGGGGGACCTTCCCTGGTTGTCAGGAGAGCCAGGCGTCCAGGACCACTCACAAGAAAGGAACACGCCCTACTAAAGGAAATGGATGCCCTGGTCACACTAGGATTCAGTTGGCCAAATCAGTACTGATCAACCTCCTCCTCCTCCTGCTCCTGCTCCTCCTCCTCCTCATCATCATCATCACCACCACCACCATGACAGTCACTTTCGCAGTGGGCCCCAGATCAAACCTCCGAGGTTTCACGCCAATGCTATCATCGGGGCCTGCCATGCGCGAGACTGGCGCATGGCACTGTTCTTGCTGGTGGGCATGGGTGACTTACGCATGAGACCAGATGGAGTGAGACGCTCGGCAGAGGTAGCAAGTGGATCCCTCTTCGAAACGAGGCGCTGGAATGGACAACAGCGCATTGGCAGGCTTTTCCTTACAACAGTTTTTGGGAGTCTATGCTAGTCACTAGTCTATGGGCTGTTGTTGTTCCTGTTCTTGGGTGGTTGATGTGTCTCATGTCTTTTACTCAGTAGCTTCGTTTTGCCACATCAAGTGTTCCGATCGCTTCAGGCCCTGAGCATCCCTCGGTCCTTCTGTCATGCTTTTGAACATCCACTTTATTTTCACTTGGCCCGTTTGCCCATGAGTCCCTTTCAGAGCACTGCTTGGTAAAGGTGCACTCAACATACGATTTCTTTCTAGCCCTACAAGTGCACGGAGTGTAGGGCATGATGCAGTGACGACCTGGATAGCAGCTTCCGTTCCTGATGTGATGGATGTTGTGGTACAAACGGGCCGCCTCCTGGGTGCCATTCCGGCTGTTGTTGCCGGGTTCGTGTTGCTTTTGCAGGGCAATCCGATGCGCAATCCGATTGGTTCGAGGATGGCGTTGGCTGGCAGTGCGGCTAGGGTTGTGGCTGTGGCCACAGCTGTCCTCCGATAATGTGAATGTCACCCTCAAAGAGACCATGGAGGCCATCAAGCAAAGCATAGAACAGTGGAGCAGCAGACCCCAGCAAGGGACGCAAAGACCTGCACCAATTGAGAGTTGATATGCAACTCGACACCGTGAAGACGATGAAGACGAGAAGACGGTCCATCGCCCATTTTTGGAGTGTTCCTCCACAGGAGGCCCTTCGCCGATGTTGCAAGATGAAGACCGCAGGTCAAGGACCCCGTTTGCACTCCGCAGGACTTCTAGTCATCCAACGTTCCAGTAGAGTTGGAGCATCACTGGGAGACTTGAGTGGTGAAGAATTGCCCGGAAGGGCAGAGATGAGGAGGTGGAGGTGAGCTGAGACAATAGCCGAGCCAAACAACAAGCATCATGCCTTAGCGCATGTGCGGTGGTCGTCGTAAGGGCCGTTCTCATCCTAGCAGGTCCAGTACTTTGCTTTCAATCAGAGCTTGAACCATGTGACTCTTGTACTGATTTGTTCATGTGGATGAGTTACGAAGACTTATAGGTGTTCATCGTCTACGTGGTCCCGAGGTGTTTGGTAGTTGGTTTCAAACAGAGTTTGGAAGAAGAAGAAGTTTAAACAACCACATTCAATCTGCTTGTTCAACAGCCTGGTGATTCGGACTGGATCGACGGATCCAATCTTGCGGACCCCGTGGTTCTCAGACGTCGTCCGGGATGTCTCTTTTTTTGAGTGTGAGACGTGTTGAGACGTGTGACATACGTGAAGACCAGATATTTTTAGAGACGTCAGGGATTTCATGTCAGAATCAGATCAAGTCCTGAAGTGAATCATGGCTTGAAAAGACCCGTCCATGAGTTGTTTGTTGGCTTCTCGATCTCAATCCTGAAGGTGCGTGTGCTATTTTTCAATTGCTCCATCCTTGAACGTTCCTACAACGGCTTTCTTGGTTGGAGGAAAACGATCCATTAATACAACATGTGAGCCACAACAACCAGAGCTAATATGCGACCGTGCTATTCACACCACAGCGGACATGGCCAAGTTAAGTCTGAACCTCAACCAAGCCAAAATGGGCCTCCTTACATCAACCGCCAGGAACACGGGTTGAACGCGCTTCCGCGAGCCCAGCTGCCCAGCTGCCGGCCCTCGATCGGGTCCAAGGCTACAATGCTGCCATCAACGTGCTGGAGAAGGCCTCACGCTGGAGCCTGGCGTTGCACTGGCTGCGTCACTGGGCCATTGTTCTTGGCAGCTGCTGTTGCTGTTGTGGTCGCCTTCTTTGCAGAACAGATGTTGTTTCTCTAGGCACATGGGCGCAAACTGCTGGTGACAAGCTGATTTAGTGGCTTCTGTGGGGGGCTACCTGCTACCTGTTGCTGCACCTAAGTGCAGGAGTAAGATGGGCTGGTGAGCAAGCTCATGTTCCACAGAAGATGGCCTCAGGTATTTCAGAAAGAACTTTGGAATCACCCCACCTACAGTCAAATGATGACACGCTTGCCCGGAATGAATACGACCACTGGCGGTTTTACGAAAGGATTCGCCCCATGCACAGAATGGCATTGCTTCTCTTTCTTGGCCTTGAGGAGAGATGCGCAACTCCGGTCTGCAGCCAAGTGCCATAGGGTACAGCGCCCTGTTAAATGGTGGTCAGAGACTTGGCTGGATTGACGGGAGAATGGTGGCTCACCGGACGCCCGAGATTTGGACCAACGCGACGATCCCAGCGGAAGCCCGGGAGGTGGACCCGGACACCCAGCATTGCGAAGCAAGTGGATCTTGATCGTTCTATATCGGTGAGGGGGTTGCTTCCGAACACGAACCGAAAAAGACAGCTCAAGGTGTGTTCCGAAGAGACCCCTGAAAACCAATGTGCTCTAAAGCGACCCTGTTGCCTTATACATTCCCGCAAGCACAGCGGTCATGACCCGCGGAGAGATGTTCTGGCCCGCCAGCACGAAGTCACAAAGTCCGACGAGGTGCGCCATCCATGCAGCCCTAGTTGACTTTAGAACTCCCACAAGTACCTACACAAGCTTGTCCAATTGTCCAGAATTTTCCGATCTCCCTTGCCTCAAGGAGCAGGTGGAAGATGATCCTCAGCACCTGGCCACTCAGCCCAAACCGATGTCCGTCTTGCGCAGACCTGGGTTTGGGGCAGACCTCCAGAGGTCTCGTCAGACCTGTCAGACCCAAAGGTTTCGTTTTACTCGGACGGTGCCGTGCTACTCTGCGGGAGATTTGGAGGTTTTTCCAGCGGCCGGGTTGGTCGACGGTGCCATTGGATGGATGGAAATCTGGATCGCAACGTCAAAAGGGTTGCCCAGATGAGGATGATCTTGCCATCCCACTTGAGGTGTTTCCCAAGCTGTTGGGAGTGTGCTTAACTCCGACCAAATTCGGTGAAGTCATTGCCGTTCCCAAGGAGTGAAGCCAAAGTGGCAGGGCTGGACACAGCTGCTGGATGCCAACGGGTGGTGCGGGTCGGTTTGGAGGGGTTGATCCTAGGATCGGTCTGTTACCGTCGTCCCCCACAAGGCAAAATCCAACCGCATGTGCCACGCGGTTCCACGACGGTGGAACTGCCTAAGAGCTCCGGAAGCACGCACAGCACTGAAGACTATATATGATGGTTCTGCGTATTCGACTAGAAGATCCGAGGCGCGTGCATGAACGTATCACCTTGCAGTATCACCTTCCTAACCCAGACCGTTTTTTTCCTTGTTTACTCATTGGATCCCGTTAACTGTGCGTTCCGTCTACTTCGGCTGTGCTCGGGGAGTTGAGGAGAACTCATCTACTACTGAGTAGGATCGTGCCTCTTTTTGTTTGACGATGTCACCGAAGGACTGGGTCAGATGCGAGTTTTTTTTTGGGGGTCTCACTTCCCAGAACCAGACATGATATCACTCGATCTCCTGCAAGGGCACTATGGGCTGTAGTGCGGCCATTCGGGCTTGCTCTGCGTGGTGGCATGCTGCAGAGGTTCTGTCATCGATGAATTGGTTCAGGCGCGCAGAAACATCAGGTATCATTTTCAGGCATAGTAGGGGCTGGTAGCTTCGTAAGAGCCTAGTGTGGTGCTTTGAAGGGTGTGATCATTCTCCATTCTATCAATATGAAACATTAAACATGCCCAGGAACCATCTATATAGAATTTAAGTAAAACCCGGCCCTTGTTTGGACACTATTTGCCCAACAACGCATGAACACGCCAACAAGAAAGAAGTAGCAGGTCATTTGTGCCAGGGTTCACGGATCCCCCTAGACCAGGGATCCATAGAATGCGTGGATAGTCTTGACGTTGGGAATCAACAAGTGAACATGCGATATACACCACCATTGTGACACGTGCCCTCTACTTTGAACCTATGTTTGACTTCTGTGCTGCAGATGTTGTTGCAGGATTCCAGCTGACCGCTGCACCTACAATGCTGCATTGCATGGCATCAGGTCGCAGTGGCAGAGAGCATCGCATCTCTCGAGGAGAGCATCGCATCTGCGTAGGGCATTTCAGATCTTCGGCTTAGCGCCCTGAGTAGACCTGGGCCAGCTTCATGCAGTGGGACTAGGCCGACAAGGCTTTGCAATCCATGAGGAAAGTGACATGTTGTTTGTTTTACATGGAGAACTTCAACTGGACAGGCCGATGGCAATTTGCCCATGTCCATCAACCCCAAACAACCTTGGAACACCATTGGGCCGGAATCGGAAGGACCGTGACACCCGACGCCGTGGGTGCAAATACTGTGATCAATGCTTGTGCGCGTGCTGGCCGGTGGGCACAAACCTTGGCGCAGCTAGAAGATATGGCCCCTGGGTGTTGACAGAGGACTTTCAGGTGGCAGAGTGTCATTTTGAGCCCATTTTGGTGCGGGACATGCTTTCATCAAAACTAGTGGTGACAACTGAGCATCACTTTCCCTTGTGCAGCAATTGCGACAGCTCCACCCGCTGTCCAATCAGCCCACATTGGCACATGTGACCAACTGAAGGTAGGACAAAGAGCCAAGTTGCGTGTGTTAGCTGTGTCTCATGACGAATCCCCATCTCAAATGGACGACGTAGGTGTGTGCAATCTACTCGGGCCATCATCTACTGCAGAAATCATCCAGCAAGTCAAGTGTACTTGCAAGGTTTGCTAAGGCTGCGGGGGGTACTAGCCGCTAGCCGAGGCAGTGATTCATTTGGAGACGGATGTTTTCAGCTGCAGTACAGCTCTCAGCGCCTGTGGCTGTGCTGCACCAGGGGCATTTCGAGTTGGTCAGGGTACTGTAATCCAGGTGCACAAGACCAGTCGTCCATTCCTTTTTGGGCAGTTTCGACTGCTTGATTTCACGCTTTCTCGTCCAGGCGGGCTCATGGGAACTTGGGCGTTTGCTTGCCACGTCTTGGCCCAGTCTGCCATGCGGAAGGCCGTGAAGTCACTGTGAGACGACCCCGGGGTCGTCAACGGGGGGGCCCGAAGTCACATCTCCAGCGATGAACATCATGACTCCAAGGATCGGGGGGTTCGTCATGACGACCGGTGTCGTTCGAGCTGGACATGGCACGGTCGGACATGGCACGGTGGCATCTAGCTGGGATTTTCAGCTCCCTGAACGGAACGGATGGTGTGATGGGTGTGTTTGTACTAGCTTTGTCCAGGCACTTGGGGCGCTTGGACTTTGATCGACCACGGATTTCATTTTGGAGAAGTGGTAGGGATCAGCACGTCAAGCCACTCTCCCCGCACCAATCCAACAGAAACAGCCAGACCACCACTCACGTGTCGATCCGGCTCCGTACGGGCCAGATCCACCCGAACCACGTGACCATGGGAACAGCGGTGGGCTGCTGTGGTGGCCATTGGGAGGTTGCTAGTGACCTGATGATGGGCCACGTGGCACGGATGGAGGAGGTTTGCACCTTCAGAGAAGTCCGGAAGATGGTGTTCAGCTAATCTGAGCACAGAGTCCCGAGGGGATGTATATACATTAGACAGAGTTCATGCTTATCCGAGTGCCATGCTACCCTGCGCTCCACTCACTGGACCTTGGGTGTCCTTGGTTCGCACATGGCCACCCCATTGTCATTCCAAGGTTTACCAGAGCTCCGCTTGGCCTCCGACCTCATCATGTGCAACTCCCACTTGGGTGTGTGCGCGGCCGCAGGGCGCTGGGAGGTCACCCAGGGTTGCTCAAAAAACATCAACGCCTTGAGCGAAGGTTGAGGTCTTGGTTCTCCCCCAGTGATGCGCACCCGTCATCCTTCAGGTGGTGCTCGAAACGCTGGCAGAGCAGCGAGAGGCCGACAGAGGGCACGGCGTGCGTGACCGGTTTCAGCGGGATGGCATCAGCTTCACGGCTGGAATTTCGGCCTGCGAGAAGGGCAGCCAGTGGACTTGGGCTGTCAAGCTTCTGGAGATGGCGATGCACGAAGTGCCAGAGGTCACCGCAGATGATGTGTGTGACTTGGCGTTGGTGGTGTTGCGGTGGATGACGGGCACGGGAGGGAGATTCAAAAGCTGCTTGTGCCGAAGGAGGATTGGAACGAGCACACACCCATCAACCAGCACTTCAGCCACAAGTGCACTTACCCTTGGGTGCAAAGCACAGGGACCATTTGGAGTGCAACCGCCACGATCAAACCACAACACCTGTCTTTTCCAGGTCGTTTTCGGGTCGTTTTCCAGGTTTTAACGCTGCCATCGATGCCTGTGCCCGTGCCACTGCGCGGGCTCCTGCTTGGGCGCTGCTCTCGGAAGCGGAGCGCAGCGTGGAGGTCCGTGACGTGTCCTCCTTGCCCTGGGCACTGGCCAGGCGAGTGTCTCCGGTGGCGCAACGTCTCGCGCCGGTGCGCGCGCAGCTCCGTTCGCGCAACGTGTACTCGGGCGAGTCGGGTGCCGCGCCCTGGAGCTGCGGAGAGCTGGCAGATCGGAAGACGTTTTGAGGTTTGATCCATTTTTTGGGGGCACGCAATGGCACAGAAGCAGGTAAGGTAGGCACCGCAAAGCCTGTTTTGGCATACCAAAACTGCAAACCACACAGCATCCAGGAAGAACATGGCAGCACCCCACCACTGCCCGAATTCTGTCGTGTGTTTTTGACGTCCGAACGGGACTCCGAACTCGGACGACTTTCGGTCCAGGCTTCACTGCCAAGATGCCTCCGTTGTCTTGGACGTCTTCAAGGACGTGGTCACCGTGGTCCGAGATCCGAAGTCGCTGTCGCCCAAGAGGTGGTCGCTGATGACCTGGGCGTTTGCCATGCTTGGAGTCCCCGTGGCCTCTCACGAGGCGCGGAAGGGAAGGCATCACGGGTTGTTGGAAATAGAATGATTCTATGATTCTACAGCGGTCTGCTGGCTTTTAGAGGGATTCCCCCAACCCTGCACAAGTGCTCCGATTTTCAGCTCGACCGTGGCGTGACTTTTCTGACCAGGTCTTTCGGGAGGCGATCATGACTTCCTTGGATGACTTCAACATCGATGAGTTATCGATCCTGTCATGGGGGATGATGGACTTGGACGCGACTTCTGGCCTTCGCATTCAGCTGGCTGCGGTGAGAGAGATGGGCCGAGCCATTGCGCCCAACCAGGACCCAACGTGCAGATCGACGGACCTTGCACAGATGGACATTTAACGGCGTTATATAGTTATACATCGAGAAATGCATATGTATATATAAAATACAATATATATATATATGCAGGTAGCCCCTTCTCACAAGCCAGCTGTTGCGGGGATACTCCCGGCGTCAACGACGGTCAAGCTTGATGGAAATAAGTGTCTAGCTCTCTTCAATCAACTCGCACGGAAAGGACAGCGCAAAGCGGTCGAACGGGCGAGGGCGAATGAACCCGGCGGAGCACTAGGACACTGGATTTTGATCCACTTAGCTGGTAGCGAGTACCAAGGTTGGCTTGGGTACGAGTGACATATCAACATCCCCCGGAACTCTCCGAACTTTGGTTCTCTTCATGGGCACTGTCCAAGGCGTCCAGTCCGAGGCGTTTGCGGTTTCTAGCTGACCTCATCAGAGGGTCGTCAACGATTTTCCAATGTTGTTCAAGGTGATAGAATTTCTGCAGCTGTTGGGGCTCCGAATCTTTTGTGAGAGAGTTTGCCAGTTGTGCGTCGCTGTGCACCCAACGTATCGGCATTTGTGTCTTTACACTAGCTTCCTTGAGGCCGATAAGCTCCAGACTAGTTCTATGTTCCGGACCCTTAGGGACATACACCTCAGTCTGCATGCGATCGTAGACGTTGGTGGAATCTGTCACCAACACTCCAGCGATCTTTGCAACTTGTTCCTCAGTGTGTCGCACCTGAACATGGTTTCCAAGCATCTCAAAAACCTGAAGTCGAATCCCGTACACGGCATCTTCACAGTCAATGGCAGCCAAAGATTCTGCAGCACCAGGTGATCTACACTGTCTTTCGATTTTTCCTGAACGCCAAAACACAGGACTCACAGGACAAAGATCACCGGAAAGAAGTCTTTTGGAAGTGATCCCTATCACAATCCCTAACGTGCTCTTGCCATCATGCCTGTTTTGGGCAGCAGCGTCTGCCCAGCCCGCAACTAGAAGATCAGAAACCTGTATGTTACCATGAATTTTCAACACATGCTTCCTATGACACTTGGTTTTGTACACCAGTTTGTTGATTTCTATCATCGTGCTAACCGTACTGTCTCGCACCTGTGAAAGAAACAAACTAACTCCAGCTGCTAAGTGAGGGCTGGTTTGTTGTGCACACCAAGAGAGAGCTCCTAAGACGGCTCGAATTCTCGTCTTTTCTCCTTCAGTAGTGTGTGATTTAGGCTCCCGACGACGTTCGGCCGAAATACTCAGCTCGCGAATGTCGTCGATGTACTGTGTCTGAGACAGGTCGAAGCCTCCTGTCTTGGTCCTCTCAACCTTGACGCCACATTGTGTGAAGGAGTCGTACTCCCATGTCCCCCACTGAAACTTCTTTTGTATTTGATCACACAAACCCTTCCATGTTACACATGACTCTCGGCCACAAAACAAGAAGTCGTCCACGTGTCCACTAACCAACCCGACAAGCTTTCCATGTTGGTCGGTGTACTTGAAGCAGCATGGGTCGCACACACAACGTTGAAAGCCGATGGAGATGAGGAACTCTGAAACGGTCAAAAACCACTCCAGCGGCGCATCCACAAGCCCGTAGCAGGCTTTCTTTAGCTTTGTGATGGAACCTGCTGGGATTCCAAGTCCGTCACAGATCTCATCAGTTGGGATGACATAGGCATCATGTTGGTATGACCTCCCTTGCAGGAAGGCCCCTGAAACATCTCCCTTGGCAACTCTCATGCCGTGGCTGGCGGCCACGACTAGGAGGATTTGTCTCGTGCTTCTGGACATAGTTGGAGCCATGGTCTGTCTCTCGGCATAGCAAGGATCCTGGTATCCTAGAACAACACAACAGGCCTTGGCCTTTCGTTCACCGGACTCTTCGCGCTTCCAGGTGAGTACCCAGCGCATTTTCATGGCCACGCCTCTGCTGGGCTGAAGGTGTGGTGGCAATGCTTTCAATGCATCCGCCGCCAAGAACTTTTTGACTTCAGTCCCCTTTGCAATCCTCATTTGTTCTCGTTCGTCGTCGGACATGTGGCGTTCTGACACTTCAACTCCCTTCCTTCGAAGCTGGGCTGACAAAAAGGACTGGAAATGATTGGTCATGTGCAGTCTACCCCTCTTACTATCAGGAACTTCGATTCCAATTTCCACTGCCGCTTGGCTGGAACCCCAAAAACACTCGGCATATGAATCCTGAAACGTCTCGGGTATGTCGCAGTCCGTCATGTGTCCGAACGGGTTTCGTTCTTCATTGCTCCCTGACGCTTCTCTACTTGGCACAGGACATTCGGGTGCGGAACGTTTCTGTCGAACGCGTCGAAACGTTCGAACCTGTTCCTCATCCCTACCTTGCTCGATTTCCATGGGTTCAGGGACTTCACCAGAAACATCATCAAAACTGTTGATCCCTAAATCAGTGGTCAACTGGGTGAAGGTCCATGGCAAAACAGGATTAGGATTGGTAATGGCTTCAAGTGTTTCCTCCCGAGCGGAGGCATGCCTCAGTTGAGTCACGTTGGCCTTAATTAAACGTCCGGCACGAACCAACCAAACCACCGACCCTGGATGATAGTTACCTTCCTCGGTCATTCGTGTTTCGACGGCGAGCACTCGACAAGGTCCGGTGTATCCGCCGCTTCGAGATGAAGCAGCGGGTCCTTTGGTCAGGCCTTGGATCCTCCAAACAAAGACAAGGTCTCCAGGAAGGAATCTCTGAGGAGCATAGCTTCTAGTGTTCTTGGCTCGAGTGATTCGATCGTCGTACACGAAATCGGTGAAGGCCTGCTCTGCCGTCCTCATACGTTCCTGGTTCCGTTGAAACTCACCTTCGGGGTTTTCACACAGGGTTTCATGATCGATCGGTCCGACTTCACTGCCAAAACGTCCGTGGGCATCAGGAGACCGTCCCAAAGCGTGTTGTGCCGGACTATATCCACGAACGACCTCTCGTTCGTTCTCCACTCGAACGGCTTCCGACAGGGCTTCCTCTGGTGAGATCTCGGGTTCTGCCAGTGCCAACTTGGTCATGATGTGCTTGGTGCACTGGATTGCTCGTTCCACCTGGCTGATTCCCCAATGGGCCTCTGCAGGCACCACGTCCAGTTCTACCTGTTCTCTACTAAAGTAGTCGTCCACCATGTGTGACCTCCAAGGTCCTGCCGGATCAACCCTCAACTTGTGGAGCTTTCCAAAAATGGGTTTCCAACACTCTTGATAGAATTGAATCATTTGTTCCCCGGAAACACCCCCAGGACCCTTTCTCATCACCTTCCCAATCCTAAACCGACAACCTTCGTCGATCAACAAAGTGAACTGAACCCGAACCTTCGAGTGTGGATGATTCCAGAAAGCGCAATCGGACTGGAGTACATGCCACTTTGGTGCTAAAGGTTCGAGACTCACTCTAGGTCTAGGCACATGACGTTTGAGCTCCTGACACACTGAGCAATCAAAGGTCCGGGCCAGCTCGATGATTCTAGGGTCGGCGCGTCGTGACTTTAAGGCTCGTACCAGGTGTTCTATTGGTCCATGTCCCGTGTTTCGATGAAGCATTGCGATATGTTTCAGGGCGGTTTCTTTTTCCTCGGGAGTGAGATCAGGTTCATCCTCTTCCCGTTCTCCTACCAAACTCAACACCTCCCCCGATTCGTGGCTCAGTTCACACATGCTACACTTCATGTCACTACGAGGGTGGTGGATCTCATTACAACAACACTCCATGTCATGTTCTTTCAAGTATTTGGGTGGTCCGTGTTGTCCTGACAGTTCTCCATGAATGTCACGGGATCTTTGGGGATGCAGGATGGCGCGACAAACACGACGAGCGAATTCGGTGGTGTAGTATGCGGAACGCCTCGTGAGAGCACCTTGACACACGGCATGTTTTCCGGAACATTGACAGGGCAGCTCCATTTGTTGTGCCAGGCTGCGGTGTGTGGTGGCCATCTTCCAACCCTTGCTCAACAACATCCCTTGCTTGTGATCTTTCAGGTTCACACGACAACCCTTCGTGACACAAAACAAAGGAGGATATCGTTGAAACACCCTTTGAACCATCGGAAGCCTCCACGCGTCGCACGTCTCCGACCACTCCCAAGTGGTGGGGATGCCGAGTAGGTAGCAATAGGTGTAGATAGCTAGCCCTCCGACATACATGCGAATGCACGACTCCCGTTTTTGTTTCAGTTCCAAAACTTGTTTTTCGTTTCGTTGGTTCACCTGTTGCATACGACTGAACGGACCGCATTCCGTGGAAATCCAAACATGTTCCGGCCGTTGTTTCTTGATGGCCACGAGAATGGCCCGAACTCCAGTATTGGTTCCTATATCATGTCCGTTCCAGTATGCAAAACGCTGTGCACTCGACGGTCGATTGGTGATCAGCTGCATCTGTTTTGACAGCACGGAGTCCGGTGCGCAAGCAAGTTCAAAAAGGATGGGCTTCCTGGTCTGTACGAGAGCCTCCATACTGTCAGGAAGCAGTCTCTCAGCTTTCCAGCTGAGAGTCTTGACTTCTGAGAGGCTTAGCTCTCGGCTCTCACATTCAGGCCCATCCGCCGTCTCTCCATCCGAGAGCTCATAGGCTTCCATGGGCCCTTCTACTGCAGCTCCGACACTTGGTCCCATTCGCTCGTAGAAGTGACGTCCTCGGCATGACGAGTGCGGCGCTTGGCTTCCTTCGAGCTCTGCTTCACCTGTACCATGTCGTCTGACAGGTTCTTCACCGTCACCATCAAATTCTGAAGCATTGCCTTGACCTCCTCGCCCTGCTCTGGTGTCAGAGGTGCACTCGATGCCGATCCCGACTGAGGGCTGCTCGACGCTGCTCCGGGCTGGTAGCCCGATGTCTTCGTCTTGGTGCCCTTCTTCTCCGGCATGGGTGGAGTCTCGATGTGTCCCACTGACTTCAGCCATGTGGCCAGGCGACGAAGTCGTGGACTGCATGGGCCCTCGGACGAGGTTGTCAGCACCCACTGGCAGTATTCCGGTTGCTGGGATTTCACCTCCTTGTACTTCAAGTGGCACCACTGTCCAAATCCCACGGGGTCCTCCGCATGGCCGGGAATGCTGTTGTACGCCCGATTCAAGGCCTTCATCTTGAGGATCTCCACTGTCTCCATGCCCGTGATATCCACTCCCATCTCTTCCTTCACAAACTTCTGGAGGTCCGCCTTGCGGCGAGCTGCCATAAGGGGCTCCTTTCCCCCCCGTTGCAACCACAACGATGCTCGCTGGTTGCTCTATTCAGCCACTGCCACGGAGGTTAGTTTTTGTATCACAACCTCGAGGTAATCTATATATGCTGTTGCTGAGGACCATACAGAAAAAGTGAACAAGGACTTCGAAAGACCAGAACCACCTTAGCTAGAACAGTAGCTAAGCTGATTGTGCATGGTAGGGCTTTCGACTACACAAGCATCCTGTTATTTGGTTTAAAGAACATCACCATATTTTCTCGCATGTTTTCACATATAGACTGCCGGGCGGACCATCACCGGCCCGTTTCGCCCAGATTGCGCCAACCTGGCAACTCATCATGGCGAAAGGCGCGCCGGAGGCCTTGTTGATGTTCACCTCCATCTGCCGAAGCGGTGACACTTCCTTGGCCTGAGGGAGCATGGCCTCTTCTCCTTCGATCTCGATCAGACGAAGCTTCAGCTGCGCCTTCGTCCAACCCTTCGGCGCCTCTTCGCCGTGCTGGGACAGGCGCTGTCGTAGCTCTGCCAAGCTCATCTGGTTCAAAGACATGGCTCGCTTGCCCGTGATGAACACACTCAAATCGCGCTAGGGGTTCCGGTTCGAACCTCAAACTGCGCGCCGGCGCCCTTGACTCAACTGGTGCACCAATCAGTTCACCTGTCGGACCTAAAGCATCTGCCTCACATGAGTGTGCATGAAACTCACAGCCAAAAACTGGAAGTCCGTCGTTCGATCGTTTCGACAAAACCGCGAGCGAGGAACGAGTGAGGTGAGTTCCTGAGTCTAGGCGGTTCCAAGGCTCCGACGGGCGCGAATTCGAACGAGTGTGCGCGTCATGTGTCTGTACGTGTTGATGTGCTTCATTATCCTGAGTTGTTCCACATTGACCTTGGCCCGGTGGTCGATTCAAGGGGCACTCTTGGTCCATGTTGTGAATGTCCTGGTGTTTATCTTTCTTGTTCCCATGGGTCTTTCCGCTATTCTTCGAGTTCCAAAATGAATCATGTTCGAGTTCCCCAAACTCGTACCCAACCTTCCCTGCAGCACTTTCGACCTTTCTACCTGGGGCAGGGTCCGAGGCAGAAAGGAGTTGTCCCTACTCCAAGTCCTTCAAGGATCCCAGCGGCTTCGCCAGATCCACAGCCTGCGTGTAAATGTCGTCCGTCAGGGGCATCAATTGATGTCCCGCGGATGACCGTTCCAGGCGAATCATCTTTTTGGGATCAACATGACGAAAAACTGCCAAATCATTTTCAAAATCGATCACGGCACCTAGTCGCCGTAGCGAATGTATGGATAGAAGAATCGGTGCTGAGCCTTCATCTAAGGCGTGTACCCTCATGGTACCCAACCTGCCGGCCATCGGCGCTTGCAGATCCGCCGTTGAGGCGCACTGGTTCTTGCTCGAATTCCCAAACCCAAAAATGGGTCTATCGGAAAAATCGATATTGGCTACCCCTGTCGCTCCCCGTTTCCGGGTGTTCAAATCAGTCACACGTTCCAGGGCCGTGATCGAACCTATGGTCCTAGTCGCACCGCCGTCCAACACCGCCTTGCCTTCAGCAACGGCTTGGGTGGTGGATATAAAACTTTGGGATGATTCTGTTGACATGTCGCAGGCCCCAGCCATGCCTGCCACGTGCTCGTTCCAGAAGACGAACGGAGCACCTCCGCCATGTGACCCTGCGAAGGCGGCTTGGGCTTCTCCTTGCACTCAGCGATCCTGTGCGGACCACCACATCGGAAGCACTTCATTGGAGCCCGAGCACGATTGCCGTCATCCCTTCCACCAGAAGCCGCTGGTCGGCCATAGAACTGCCGCGACATCTTCACGGCATGTTGCCGTGCCCTCGCATCTCTCAAGGTGCGGCGGTTGTCCTGAATGGCCGTCATGGCACTTCTGGCTCTTTCTTCTTCAGCTACCATGGCCTCAATCTCGTCCACGGAGAAACCCTCAGCCTCCAAGCTCATGGGATCACATTCCCCCATGTGGCCCCACTCCTCTTCCAGATCATCGGGACCTGAGTAGTTGGCAAGGAATCGCCCCTTTTCCGCGTCTCGCTTCCGGATGTCACTGTCCGACCAATGCTTGCGGAGGACCTCCTCCACGACTCGAACTCCAAACTCCCCACGAAGTTCCGCATGGAGAACATTTCGTTCCATCACATCCAGGCCGGAGTCCATGAACAAGTACCAACCCTGGATAAAGTCTGGCAGAATCTCCGGAAGCTGATGGCGGCTCCATTCGCTGGTATCCTGGCGATCATCCCTTGACCACGACTGCCCGTAGGAGTCATACCAGGACCAGTCATAGTAGCCCTGCCAACCATTGTAGTGGGTGTCCCACTCTTCGATGGGATCTTGGAACTCTGAGTCTCCTTGTCCAGACGAGACCTCATGAGGCCCCTGCTGACTCTCTCCCCCTGGCTCACTGCGGGTGTGAGAGCTTGGATGGCGTCCTGCAGTTGACGATGCCGGCCACGTTGAGGTCGATGCCATGCCATGGTCTCGCTGGTATCGTGCCATTGACTGTTGGGCTCGAGTGTAGGCCTCAGCCTTTCGCAGAATGAAATCTCCCATGGGTTCGCCCCGTTGTCTCTTCGTTCCACGGAAGTACTTCAGCAAAAGCTCGGACATCTCGGGCACTTTGGGTTGTCCTCGTTCGGCACGAAGGGCAGCAACCAAGACACGCACCCCACCGTCATGAGACAGCCAGTTGGCTGGCTTCCCAATCAACACTCTCCGGGCCGGTCCACGAAGTTCAGCAGCTATTCGGGGACCGCACAGGTACCGCTTCTCTTTGACCACGGTCTGCTCGTAGAGGAGGCACATTTCAATGAACTCTTCAAAGCAAACAGCTTCTCCCCCCCAGACGGGCACTCCATCCTTGCTCTTCTGTACCCCAGTGTTGAGGCCACCTGTCGACTCTGTACGGCTCGGCAGTGCAGAGTACAAAGCATCACCTGTCCACATCCTACTGGAGCACAAGGCTCCGCTACCATGCAGGTAGCCCCTTCTCACAAGCCAGCTGTTGCGGGGATACTCCCGGCGTCAACGACGGTCAAGCTTGATGGAAATAAGTGTCTAGCTCTCTTCAATCAACTCGCACGGAAAGGACAGCGCAAAGCGGTCGAACGGGCGAGGGCGAATGAACCCGGCGGAGCACTAGGACACTGGATTTTGATCCACTTAGCTGGTAGCGAGTACCAAGGTTGGCTTGGGTACGAGTGACATATCAACAATATATATCTATGTATGTATGTGTGTGTGTGCAGAGATGTTGGCGACTAAAGCATCCCGACTTAACTAGCTTCCTTAACATTCCTTAACTAGCGAAACTTTGAAAACCCTCTTTACCAGGTTGATACCTGGACTTCGAAACTAGATTGATTCTTTAATTTGCACTTTTCCTACGCTATTCAGTTCTAGTACCGATGGGCATAAGGGGTGCCTGCGGGTGCGGCATTTATCTATTTGACTGTTTCACATGCTTTTCTCACCTCCGTACCCATGGCACGCAAGAAGAAGAAGAAGAAGAA